GCACCGCCGTCATCCTGGACGTGAGTACGCGCCGGCCGGGACCCCGAACCCCCTCCTCCCACCCGGGCTCTCCCGACGCCGCCCTCCTGCGCCCCCGCCGGGACCCGCGAGGCCCCCTCCTCCCCGGGCGGGGGACCCCCGGCCCTTTCCCCTCTGCGTCCCAGAGCGCGACCCCAGTCCCTCCGTGTCCCGGCCGGTCTCCATCCCAGTCTAGCCTCGTCCCTGGACCAGGACGGTCCTCCTCCTCCCGCCCCCTCCCTCCATGTCTCGGGATCCCCACCTTCTCGGAGCCGGGACCCTGGAGCCCTTCGACCTGGCCACAGCCCCCCTACTTTTATGCTGGCTGAACCCTTACCCTTTCCCCAGCCCTGCACCTCAGCCTTTACCCTCATCCCTGTCGGGACGAGAGCCCCTGCCGCCTCCAGCCCCCTCCTCCTCTCCATCCCAGATCCCTGCCTGCATCGCTGCTCTTCTGAGACCCCCTTCCCTTCCAGCCTCTGGCTCTGGGGCCCCTTTTCTCATCCTGGCCATTGACCCTGAGCCCATGTATTCTCATCCCCAAAGGCCCCTTTCACCCCAGGCACCAGCTCTTTGAAAATGAAGCCCCCTCCCCACCTGTGTCTTCCCCTCTTCTTTCAGGAGAGCCTGGACCCCTCTGGGCTCCCTGCCCCCACCCCACCCCCACTCCACTAGGAGCCCCGTCTGTCCTCCACTCCTTCCATACCCTCTACTCAAACCACCCCCCCATCCCCTCTGGGATCCAAACCACCCACCTCTGGGAAGCCCACCTCACCCTCCCACCCACTCCCCAGGAGTGGGAGGAAGATTCTACAGGATGGACTGCTGGGGGTGGGAGACTCGCTCTATGGAGTGAGGGAGAGGCGGCGGGGGCTCCATCCTGGGCACCACCCCCACCTCCTAACAGCAGAGCAGTGGGTTGTGCGTGTCCCAGTGAAGGTCCTGTGCCGGGTGGGTCTTGGGGAGAGTTGTGTCTGTGTGTTTGAGTGTTGGGGGGGCGCATGGATTTCCTCGCCCCTTCCCTTCCTCTCTGCTGGAACCCACCGTTGGCTCTGTGCAGAGAGGGCTGGGCAGGGCAGGGGGCGCTGTGCTGTGGGTGCTTGTGGCTGCCCGCGGACACACACACACACACACACACACACACACACACACACACACACAC